TGTAAATAGTAAATTTATTGTCTTGTTTTTTAACATACATTGAATTGCATTAAAAAAAATGACACTAGAACCTTCTTGTTATTAATTATTAAATTCTAAGAATTTAATTTTTTTTATTACTATTAAATGATCAGTTCCCTATGTCATTCAATATCACAAAATAATTTAAATTAGCCGCTGTAGTAGATTTATCAAGAATAATTTGTAACACTTTGTATAGGCCACTTCATATAAAATACCTTTACACATTTATTTTAACTTACTCCTTTGTAAGATGTACACCACCTTTAAAACCATTGTTGAACCATCCTTTACCACGTCCTCCTGCCAACACTTGAGCTTTGATAACATATTCATTTGCATCTGGAAGATAAACAAAAGATACAAAAAGTTCATTGGTCTCAAAATTGTCATAATCAAGAAAATTATTAATAATACACAAGCGAAAAAAATTTTGTTTATTTTATTATAGATGTATAAAATGTGATGAAAAAAGGAAAAAAAAAATGATACTAACATAAATTCTTTAGAGCAGAGCTGGCTTTGTTTAAATCATCAATGATGGCGAAATTTTGTACAGATATACCACAGTCCCTTAAAAGCTCTTTGCTTTGATATTCTAATAAATTGAGTTTTCTAAATTGTATCACTTCGCATAATCGATTTTTAATAAAAATTTGTGGGGTTTGGAAAGATTTTAAACTAAGTATTCGCAACATTCTTAACCTTAAGACTTCCACTTGATAAATAGTTCAAAAAACATCACTTGTACTCCAATCGAAGTGTGTTAATTCTCGCATGCGAGATTAGGAAAAAGAACACCACAAACAGACATTTTTCGGCAGCAAGACTACATAACGTTCATCAACGATGATTGGATGACGACAATACGCGCGAATAACGTATACGTTAAAATTTATGTTAAAAATCATTAACAACGATCTTTTTATATGGCTAAATATATATATTGAAGAGAAATTCCAATACACATGGCTTATAGATATGTATAAAGATTGGGAAGTTTTTCTAACCTATTAACATACGAATAACATGACGGAAATTCATGAAGTTGAAACTACCTGTATTTATTTTTGATGGGATAACATAATATATTTCTTATTATTTTTTTTTTTAGAATTTTTTATTATTTTAATTATTCAATGTCATTTATATTTACTTATTTATTGGAACTGTCACAATATATATCCATATATATATATATATATGTTCATCAGGCGCAGATATTTTATTTTCATACCGTATGACTAATAAGCACAGTTTATTATAACACGTTTGTTTTAAATCTTATTTCTCCACCCTATTTTTTATTTTTACTAAGCTGACAGCGCTATCTCTGTTTGTGTATGTGTAATCATAAAACTCATCAACCAAATTCAAAGTTAATGTTTTTATTTGGTACAAATATATACAACAAGGTTATATATGATCTTTTTTTCTAATTTACACACGTGATTTCTTGTTATGAATATATTCTTTCATATATAATTTTTTGTACATATTTTTGTTGAAATTGACTTGATTTTTTGGATATACAGTCATATTTTTAAGTTATTCGAATGTAAATATGTTTATATTTACGTAATAAAAAGATTAATTTCATTATATTTTAAGGATGGAAATGGAAGTGAAGGATATAATAGAAAAATCTTTGAGAAAGGCAAAGGATCATGACAGTCTTGGCCATGTCGGAAAGGCTTATGCTTATTATACTGTTGTAGCAGAATTATGTTCTCCAAAAAGAGCAGAAATAGAGGAAGCATTTACAGATGTGTTATGTATGTTTTTATAAATAGTTTGTCTTGTCTATTTATATATTGTTATGTACCTTGTATATATTGTTTGTCTTCTGTATATATCATTTGTATTCTTTACAATGAAACAAATGTATATTTAGGTGAATGGTGTATGCAATTGGAGGTCAATAATAGGTTTTCTGATCTTCTGTTATGTTATAAACATTCTTTAGATATTTATCCAAATAATCCACGTATGCTAAATAATTTTGCAGCGCATCTTCTAAGGTAATAATTATGGTGAGATCATGTTTTTAGATCTATAGATTAATATCTAACAACTTCAAAAAATTGAGATCTTATTAGCTTATTTTATATATCTATTTTTATACTTTAATTTTAAAACATAACCATCTGATTCTTTAATATATAGATATAAATTGTATAAGACATTCTTGTTTGGATAGAAAAATTTATTATTATGCTGTTTAAGGAATAACGATCCTATGAGAGCAATACCTTATTTGAAAAAAGCCTTGAGAGTTGATCCTACTTTTCTACCTGCAGAACGAAATTTGCAAAATGCACATAGTATGGCTGTAGCTAGATGGCACTTTCCAATGTTGAACGATAAGCAAAGAAATAATGCATTTGCACAAGCAATACATAAAAGAATTTCTGAAGGCTATGACACCGTTTTAGATGTAGGAACTGGCACAGGTCTTCTAAGCTTATATGCAAAAGATGCAGGAGCCAAAAACATTTATGCATGTGAATATTCAACAGTAATGGTTAACATAGCAAAAAATGTGTTTGAGCGCAATGATGCAAAAGATATAAAATTGATACCTAAGCTTTCTTCAAATCTTAGAATACCAGACGATATTCCAGAAAGGTTGATTGAATTACTAAACAAAACTAAAACTTAAATTTCTGATTGGAAAAAACTTAGTTATTAATTTTTTGTTTCAGGTTGAAATTAATAGTAACTGAAACATTTGATGCTGGTTTGTTTGGAGAATTAATAATACCTTCTATGATTAATGCACACAAAAATATTTTAAGTAAAGATGGAATGGTTATACCTATGAGAGCCACTCTTTACATGGCTGCTGTTGAATGTGAATATATACGATACAGGTCATCAGTTTTATTTAACAAAATAAAAGAAGAATGCTCTCTTAGTTTTGATAATGTGCTTATAATACCAGACGATGAATATTATGATACAGAAAATCTTGAAAATGTTAAAATAAATCATATAACAGAACCACAAGTATTATTACATGTTAATTTTAATAACATGTATGAATTACAAGAATTTGCAAAAGATGGCATAAAGGCTATACGATGTGTTAAATGCAGATATGATGGTATTATAGATGGATTGGTAACTTGGTTCAAACTACATCTTGATGAAGAAATTGTAATAGATACATCAGAAGCAAATTCTTGTTGGCAACTGGCTGTATTTCCAACAATTCCAGCAGTCTGTAAAGAAGGTGATAACTTAACGATTAAGACTGAAGTACATAATGGAAAACTAAAGTGTTCTTACACATTAAGCACATTCAAATCTGATATTGATTCTAAATGTACATATCGTTTACCAAGAGAAATAATAATGTTCCTTAATGATCTTGAATATATTAAATCTCTTATTCAAATTAGCAAATCTCATGAAACTAGAAAATTAAATTGTATTTTGGATACCTCACCATTTCCTATCTACGGTTTGATGCAATTAAAAAAAAATAAACATAGTGAAATTTTATATTATGAAAGTAGTAATTTAATACTTTGTCATCTTGTTGAACAAATTATTAAAGAAAATGAAATTCAAGGAACAGCCTATGCTGTATCTGATTATCGTCAAATTCAACATCCTGTAGATATTATACTTTTTCATAATTTTGATATGAAGGGAGAACTAAAAGATTGGGGCCAAGATAGTTGTCATGAACTTTTCAGGTAATATGTCATCTTTTATTTTTTATAATCTCAAAATTATTTCGATAATTTATAATGACCGATATCATTAACATAAATATTAATAATATCTAATGATTTATATGCATATTAAGACTGTTATAATTAACTGTGGCTTGTCTTGTATATTCTTAATAAAATAATTAGAAATATATATTTTAGCTATTTGTTAAAGCCAGAAGGCATTATACTACCAGAGAAAGTATTTTTGATGGGACAACTTATATTCTCAGAAGATTTACCTAAAATAGTATCTGTAAAAGATGCAAATATTCAGTGGGAAAAAAATACATCGAATAAATCAAATTTTCATAAGGTATATATTATTAAGAATAAAATAATTTTTTTCAATTTATAATTATTAGAATTTTTTCTTTGTAGCATAATAATGAATATATTAATATTATGACAAATATTAAAGATGCATATTCAAGTTATAAGATTGCAGAATATATTAATGAATATAAGGTAATCTACTTGTAAGATTATATAATAATATACTATAGTCTATGATAAGTTTAAATTTGCATTTAAAAAATTCTAATGTTGCAGATAGATCAAATATTTGACTTAAATTTAAGTCTGTATTCTTATATACCTTTATCTGAAATACATACATTAATAGAAATAAAAGAAAATGAAAAGACACAATCTGTTGTAAATTTAAAAAAAATAGGCAATAATAATAAACAATTACATCCAAATGCTCTTATTTGTTGGTATAAAATTGAACTTACATCAGATCATGTACATTATACAAAAAGAAATGATTCTTTTATGAATCACATGGCCTTAGTGTTAGAAGATGAATTGCAAAACATTATTCGAGCAGATAATGAAGTAAAGATTAAAATACAACAAGTCAAAGGTCTAGTAAGTATCAAATTGATTACTGAATGAATCAAGAAGTACTGAATTATATATATGTGCATTTTTAGTTTTATAAATATGACTTTATTTTATAACAATTATATAACAAAATAATGAAAATATAATATTATGAAATTAGTAACATAATTAATATATGTTTTATAAATAAGTGTTTTTCTGCAATTATAAATATGTGGATCAAAATAAAATAATTTACATTAAAAAATTTTTACATATAATAATTTAATAAATAAAAAACCAAAACATTATATATAAGAAAACACTTATCATTTGTATATAAATTCATAATAAAAAATTGTAAAGTTCATAAAACAATTAATAACATATAATATTTATAAGGCAGCTTTCCTAAATTCGATATAATATTTTTCCCTAATTCCCATAATTTAATAAATAATATATATAAATTTGCATCTATTCCAAATTTTATCAACATCGATTATCAAATATATCAGCTTTCCATAAGTACAATTTTATTTATTTAAAATTAGTTCTTAATATATTATCTGTTAAAGTTTGCTTTTAATATTACTATCCAAGAAATTACATATATATGATGCTACTCTTTCTGGATAATTATTATGGACATCATGATTCCCAATTACATAAGTAATAGAGATATTATAATTGTTTAGTATTTGTTTTAACATATATGACATATCTTTGAATAATTCTATTTGAGAATCTGATAAAATAATTATACATGGAATTGAAATTTCTTTAAGACACGTTAGTGATTGATTCATACTAAAGTAAGGTACTACAAATACATTTAATCTAACATCACGATTATATTTATATAGACCATTAACTTTTGTTACAGCTCTCTCGTACAATGCTTCTGCAGCTTTTGAATTTAATGCTGAAATTCTTTTACATCTTAAAGCATATAATACTTCTTCTTTAGTATATAACCGAGGAGTTTTATTTGTGTTAGCTTTAATAGTAATATCACAAAGTTCTCGTAAGCGAGATACAAGTTCTTTATTTGATGTCGGAGGCGATATTAAAGAATCCAATAATATTAATTTTTCAATCATTTTGGGATAAAGAATAGAAAACATTGTACCAATGTGACCACCAAAACTATGGCCCATATAAATACAAGTATCCCATTTTAATGCATTTAATACATGATATATAGAAAGTACATAACTAAAATAATTAAGTGGTATTCCTGAAGTAAAGTGTGATGAAAATCCATGTCCTGGTAAATCTATACATACAATATAACAATTTTTTGGAAGATACTTAATAATTCTGGTAAAGGTACCAGCATTATCTGAAGTTCCATGTACTGCTAGAATTCTTCTATCAGTTGACAGACCCCATGCTTTAGCAGCTATATGTCCCCATGGTACAGATAATTTCAATTCTTCACACGTTTGTTTTCCTTCCATCATTAATCACTAATAATAATAAGAATTTATTAATTGAATTGCGATATGTAAAAATTAATGAATCGATTTTATAGAAATGTACAGATTATTCAACGTGAATTTTTCACAAGTACTTTTAAATTTACTTAAAAGTATTTATAGAGTAATTTTTTTCATACGCACACATTTAAAATACTTTAAAACAAATATATAAATAAAATTCGTTGTTATAATCTTTTATGTTAAATATTATATTACATAAAACAATACGTGCTTACCTTGAAGTTATATAAAAGAAAGTGAGAATGCAAATATTTTACAAATATTTGTGTTGACCTTTAATTCAATAATGTGATTATTTTTTTTTATTATTATATATTATTTAGTATTAATATGAATTTGGTATTAATATGAATTTGGTATTAATATTATAGATTGTTAATAAAAAATATATAATGGTTAGGTTAATATTCAACTATATTTAACTGCACAATTAGAGACTAGTTTTCTGTAGGTTATTTAGCAATTAAATTTGTGTAATGATTATACATTATGTATATATATGTACATAGCATCATGTATATAGTTTTATTACATTCTATTATGTTTTATTTAAAAATGAAAGAAAAATATTCTTATTTTCTTATATATATTTATTTTCTTATATATAATTCTTTCTACCACATTATATATTATATATATGTATATATGTATGTAGATAATATTTAAATTCATGAACACATGTGTGTGTGTGTGTTGTGTGTAATATATATATATATATTTGTAAATATGTAGTACTTATAATATTTGATTATATCGATGAGATAATAGTTATCAAATTTTTTTATTAGTTATAATTTCACATAATAATATAATAATATAAGTAATTTCCAATTGTAACATAGCCAGTGTAATATATATCATTCGTAAATACCTAGATTTTATAATTTGATATAATATATATATATTTGTGTATACGTATATATATATATACATATATATATATTTTATGACCCGTTGTATAAAATAGTGAAAAAATTTGAAAATGATTGTAAATTTATTTCAAACGTATCGTCTAGTTTTGTTTTCCTAAAGATTGTCAGCACTGAAAAGTGAGATGAGATCAGTAGTGTTAAAGCGAATGCCTACCGCCTAATGTTTTGCCCTATTGTTCACGATGTCTTGGAAAATGAATAGGTATTAAGCGACTCTAAATAGGCTAGCTGTGTTTTTTATGAATGGTGTATTATACATCAATCGAGATGGAACAGATACTATGTAAGAAACATAAAGGACGGTAATACCGGTTAAAAGCATTGACAGATTTAACGAAGAACGCTTTGTCATGGACATGCAAGCTCCGAATGGTTCGTATGTGTTTTCGAAATATATTAAGTACCTTCGACCATCATAATTAGCAATTTTATAATGATTATACCCATACAGATATTGATAAGGGTCAAAGATTTTAATTTTAAAAGCAATAAACTGTAAATTAAGGTTAAATAATATTTCTCGTACTTATATCGACATATTAAAACATGTTTTGTATTTCCATTTTATTTGAATTCGTTCAAATTTACGTTATTAAACATGTATGGTTGTATTGATATTCGATCTATTCTATAATAAGAATAATTATATATTATATATTAAATATATAATCTATTTGTTAGTGAGTGAAGAAAATAAATTATAATGCTTAGGTCTCTCTCTCTTTCTCTCTCTCTCTCTCTCTCTTATAAATTTGGTTTCTACACTAGATTTAATATTGAACATATTGTTTAAAATGTTTAATATTGTAGAGAAAATATATCATTAATTTAATTATAAATAATGTTAAAATAATTATTTGAATATAAGAATGGATGTTTGCATGAATTTAGTTTATGCTTCCATCCCTGGAATGCCAGAATTAGGGATGGTATGGATGGGGGACATGATGGTACATGGAGAACCTACACATGAGCTTATGTTAGACCCTCGTCAAAGTGAAAGTCCATTTTTTTCTCATGGCTCGCATGCATATGAGGATCTTAGAAATCATCAAATTGCTCCTACAGCAATGGTACGATATTTAGCACCACAATATCCTAATGAATGCTCAGAACCTGATGAAGCTATGGAAACTATGGATACACAAGAGATGCAACAAGTGAGTTATATCTCTTCTAATAAAAATACTTATAATATTATGCCAATTACTTAATTGTTATGTAACTCTAAATCTATTTATTAGGAATATGACTCACAATCAGAAAGACAAGAAATGAGTGAATATTTAACATTAGAAGATTATATGGCTGATGAAGATAGGGAACAGGTAGTAAGTAATGTAGCAACTCAAACTACTCATGATGGTTCACCGTTGCTACGAAATCGAAAAATAAAGCCTATAAAACATCCTGGTCTTATTCTAAAAACACCGATTGCTTATCAACCACATACTGATTTAAACTTCATTCCTATTCGTAAAGATGGCATAGGTAAGAATTGTAAAGCAGTATAGTTTATGTCTATTTATGTTTTCAATACATTGAACAATTTTTTTCCTTTATCCAGCTGTATGTGAAAAATGTGGTGCTATAGGAGTAAAACATGCATTCTATACAAAAGAACGAAGATTTTGTAGCAGAGCATGTGCACGTTCTTCAGAACATACTGCTTCCACTGCTGATTCAACATATAGCCCATCATATCCAGTAGAACCAACAACAGCTATGAATGCAAAGTCTCCTACTAATACAAAATCTTCAAAAGATGTAAGTTTAATAGAGCTAGGTAAAAATAAAATTTATTCAATGAACAATTTTCTTTAGGTGATAAAAAAAGAAACTGAGTTGAACGATTCTGTCAAAGAAGAAGAAGAGAAAGTTTTAGCAGAACCTGTAATGCCAGAAGATTTACCAGTACGAAGGAAAAGAACAGCAGAAATGGCTGGCTCTTATGACTGGACACCACATTTGGTTGAACCTGGATTTTGTGCTGCACCAGTATCTTGTTTTAAACATGTAAATTTTTTATGAAATTATTTTTTTAAATTTTATTAAATATACATATGTAAATCTTTAAGATATGTAAATCTTAAGATAATGATCTATAAGTAACATGTCATAAAATTTTATTGATACAGGCACCTATATCTGAAATATGGGATAACATAACAGTGGGTATGAAAGTTGAAGTTGAAAATACTGACTGTGACGAAGTATGTGAAGCTTTTCCAGACTCTTTTTGGGTTGCGACTGTATTACGTATATCGGGATATAGAGCTCTGTTAAGGTATGAGGGATTTGGCCATAATGCAGATAAAGATTTTTGGGTATCACTTTGTTCTAACGACATTCATCCTGTTGGTTGGTGTGCTACAATTGGAAAACCACTTATACCACCAAACAGTAAATACCATATGATTATTTGTATTGTATATTTATGTTTACCTGTGGAAATTTATATTATAAAAAAATTAAATTATCATAAAATAAAACATAATAGTATCTGTATTAGAAATATTATACAATATCATTTTATATTTTTTTCACAGCAATTGCTAACAAGTACAAAGACTGGAAGGACTTTTTAAGGAGACGATTAACCGGTGCAAGGACATTAACAACTAATTTCTATAATAAAGTTAATGACAGTATGAAATCTCGCTTCAGATGCGGACTTCATTTAGAAGTGGTAGATAAAAACAGAATTTCTCAAGTTAAAGTAGCTACAATACAGAAGATTGTTGGTAAGCGATTGCACGTGAGATATTATGATTCACCGCCCGAAGATAATGGTTTCTGGTGTCATGAAGACTCTCCTCTTATACATCCTGTTGGTTGGGCAAAGAGAATAGGACAATCGTTGGATGCATATCCTGATTATCTAGAACGTGTTTCAAAAGTAAAATTGTGCGAAGATGATGCTACAGATGGTCTTTTTCATGTGCCAAAGAATCATCATCTACACCTTGGATATACTTTTAGAGAAGGAATGAAAATGGAAGCTATTGATCCACTTAATCTTTCTGCTATCTGTGCGGCCACAGTTATGCAAGTTCTAAAAGAAGATTATATTATGATTCGTATTGATAGTTATGACGAAGATGCAAGTGGTGCTGATTGGTTTTGCTATCATTCATGTTCTCCCTGTATCTTTCCAATTGGGTTTTGTTCTCAGCATGGCCTACCACTTACACCACCAAAAGGTTATGATTCAACAACGTTTACATGGGATGCATATTTGATAGAAACAAACACAATACCAGCACCTGTACAGTTATTTAACAGGGTGACTATAATAACATAAACTGAAATTTAAATGGAATTAAAATATTTGAAAAAATAACATCAACATTGTATTATAGGAAATACCCCAGCATGGATTCATTGAAGGTATGAGGCTTGAAGCTGCTGATTTGATGGACCCTAGATTAGTATGTGTTGCTACTATTACCAGAGTGATAGGTCGGTTGTTGAGGGTACATTTTGATGGTTGGGAGGATGAATATGATCAATGGTTAGATTGTCAGAGTCCAGATATTTATCCAGTTGGTTGGTGTGACCTTGTAGATCATAAATTAGAGGGGCCCCGTGTACTCACTAAAAACACTAGTCCTACTGGTACTTATTTATATACTAATATATATTTAATACTAATTTATATATATTTTAATGTATTTAAATATTTACATATAATAATTATAAATATTTATAATTATTTTTTCTCTATTTATACACAAGTGTTATTTACTTTTAGTAAAATCACCAAGAGGCCTTAAACGTAAAGCTAAGAGAAAACTAAAAAAAGGAAGCAAGGTATCTTGCGCAAAAAATATACTACCTCGTCACAGTGAACGCATTAGTATGGCACGTGAACGTGAACGAGAATTAGAACCGGCACAAGGCACAAAAATCGAACGAGAACGTGATCTTGAGAGTTTACCGGAACAAGGAAGTAGAGAGCCAGAACCGGCAGAAGAACCTGCTGGTCCTGATCAAACTTTACCTAGTCCAACAAGTGGGCAAGGTCAGGCATTAAGTGATACACAAAGTGACGTGCAAAGCCCACCACCACCCAAAGAGAGAACTGCAACATCATATATTAATGTAATTTTTATTTTCGATTATAACGTTCACTGGTATAAAAAGCAATATTAAAAAAATGATTTAAAAATTTTTCATTTTAGGTAACTTCAGCAAATACAAAATATATTCCAAGGTTAGCAGATGTTGTTCCAAAGGGTTCAGATTGTGGTGATTTGGTGCCATCTGAATGGAATGTTTTTGATGTTGCTCAATTTCTCCGTGTCAATGATTGTGCAACATACTGTGACAATTTTAGCAAACGCAAAATTGATGGAAAGACTTTGCTAAATCTTACAAAGGACCAAATAATAAACCTAACGGGTTTCAAAGTTGGACCTTCTTTAAAAATTTTTGATCTTATTCAGCAATTAAAAATCAAAGTAAATCCAGCTCAGGAAAGATTGAAACTAGGACTGAAAAAATTATTATAACATACCTAGTATATAGCTGATATTATGAATAAGTTCCAACTGAAATAGATTAAACATGGATTTACAGGTAAGGCATATGGATACGTTTGACGTCGTATGTTATATTTGAGTTGCATTCTGTTTAATAGCCTCTTTTATTTCAATATATATTCTTAATAAAAAATAACCTGTCAATAATTTGTCTCAGCAAGTAATGAAATATTTTTCTTTTTTATATTCTATAAAATATTCTATAAAATAAAACAGGACAGAATTTTAATTGATATAAAATTGTGAAATAATTAGAATATCTTGTGTAGCAAACAATTTGAAATCAAAATTATGTACAGAATAATACAAAATACTTCATATAACCTTGATATGTAGATAAGATTTTATATATGCATTTTGAATTTGTTTGTATTTATAAATATGTGATTTTATTTTACATAACAGGTTTTCATTCTAGTGAGTTCTTTTCCCTGTATTGCCATAATTTGTAAATCCATGAGTCAGTTAAATCGATTGAATACAAATGCACCAGCCATCTATCGGTAAAGTCACAAAGAAATGTTTTTCATTGAAATAGAATTAGAAATGAAATGTAAGAAATATACAAATTCTGTATTACAGATTACAAGTAGACAAAATAAGTCAAATAAGATAAAATAATGTAATATGATAAAGTACAAAATAGTATTTGTTTGTCGATGATATAATTTCATAAATAATTATGACTATCAAAGTATCATTGATATCTGAATTATTCAGTATAGTTTAATGACCTTCATTGATTTGTGCCAGATTACAATTTCTATTGATGTATTTGTATATAGCTAATGGAATGGTAAGTTATCGACTTTTCTGCTTGTAAATATTATTTTTAGAACAATACAATATTAATACATTTGTGACAAATAAAAAAAATTTAGATGGTTTTAATTGCACAAGACAATTATTACCATTGGCTGATGCATTTGTATGAACGTACATTAAGATACGCAATATTCACGCGCAACTTACTCGTCAATACAGTAAATCAAAGAAAATAGATAAAATATAAGAATAATTCAGCTTTGACTCATAAAATACTATTTTAGTACCACAGAGTAACACAGGTTACTCTTATTATTTATTCACTGTTCTTGGAATCATTGTAGCAATTAACTCGAACTTGTACCTTATACCCGGCATTTAAAAAAATTTTGTTGGTAAATACACACGTAAATAATCCATTGATTGTACAACCTTCTCATGAACGAGTAATCTCTAAGTTACAGTTTAAAAATGCTCTTTTAACATGTGAACTAGATCTAGCAAAGCATATTAAACTTTACATTTGGGTTAGTATTGAAATTGTTTGAATATATTACAAAATACAATATGATGTTCAGAATAGAAAAAAATTTATCACAATGTTCATACTAAAATATAAAAGATATATTCATTTTCTTTTATATTTTGCAGATTTTTTAAATTTATGAAATGTATTCTGAAAGAATAGATAAGGAAATGTTAGCAAGAAATATATAGGATTGTTACAATCTTATCCTTTTTTCATAATAGGGGATAAATGTTTTTTGATTAATTAAATAACAAGTTCACACAAAATGAAATAGAAAAAGCAAAAACAACTAAAATATTTATTCTATTTTCATTATTTAACAATGCGACTACAAGTACAAAACGCCATCATAGCCATAAAATTTGGATTACAACAATTTAACTGGTTTGAAGCCAAAGTTAGGATAAAGAAAATCAGTCGCGAGACTCAGATATAGGGTTTTAAAAATATGAAAAAAAGATTTTAAAAGATATGCTTTTTGACAGCTGCCAAAGTTCTCAAAAATTTTTATTCAAGAATAGTATGACAAACACATAATCTATGACAACCCAAATATTTGAGTATCATTTAATGTATACTACAACACCTGCATAGTATTACTGCAATCATTAAATAGACATTACTAACAGGATACAAAAGAAACATGAGTAAAAGGATATATGGTGCGGGGAAATATAAGTCATTGATCATAAAAGTAAATTATACATAGATTATAAATGCAGCCTGTGATATTTGCTGCGATAAAAAGTAGAAATTCTGTTGTTTGCTCTTAACAAAGACATAATCTATTTCCATATATGCCATCTGCATATATTACCTGGATTTATTTTAAAATTAGTAGATGAAAATTAAAATATGCATTGTAAATTATCTATTCATATTTTAATGCCTCAATCTAAATTTGCGGTTTGTTTTGCATATGTTAAACTTATATTAAGTAGCATGCGTGAAAAGAAAAATAGATTATTTAAAACAAGCTAGAAGCACAGAAACTGTATTCACTATTGTAACCCATAAGCAATTGTATCAGCTACTTATCATCTATTAAGTGTAATATATTTCTTTTTACTTATAATTCAAGCTATGGGGAATAAATATGAATACAGTTCACAAATTTGAATGATAATCGTATTTGAATGATAAAAGTATTTATCAGTATGATAGATTTGAAGCGAATCTTCATTTACACTATTTTCTTTTTTTCTATAAGCTTATTAATACATATATTTCTTTTTTATAAAAGTAAGTAAGAATTGATTAAGGATTAATGTTTTACACATATTGTAAAGAAACATGCAAATAATGATGGAAGTACATTGTTTACATAAAATAGTGTAAGGGTTGTTCCATTCGCGTTAAGTACCATTCCATATAATTCATAGTAAAGAATTATAAACTTTTAAGTGCATCGTATTTATAATAACAAAAAAAGAAAAAAAAAATAAAAAATATTTCATTTTATTTCACATAATAAAAGATAATAAAAAACGAATATTGAGAAACGATGGTAACATAGTGCATTCGAACTACGTACATTTCTTTCTATTTTCGTCATATTCAAAATAAAATGGTTAACATTAAATGCGTATAAAGCTCACAAAGTTTCAAGTAAATATCGAATTATCTAAGAACAAATTTAAAATTTTTGCACGCAGATTCTACGAAGCCCGCGCAAGATTTTTTTATCGCTCGAACTTTATGACCGAAGGAAAAGTACGTCGAATCTCGAAGTTTATAGATCGAATGAAAAGTGCGCGAATCTTATATATTTTTATTATAGGACATCGTGAAAGACGCGTGGTAAAGCTTGGCAAAACGCATGCCCCGCATATATCAGTATGTGCGCTTGAGTACGCGCGTACTTGGGAGCTCTCATCGTTGATGATTCTCACGTTACGTGGCGCTGCTCTCTTTTCTCTCGTATAATCGTGACGAGAGAAGATAATGAAGGAAGCGCCGATAGGGAGTGGAGAAGGGAGAGGAGTAGCACCTAACGAGCAGCACTATTCTAGGCTCTCTTTCTATCTCTCTCTCTCTCTCTCTCTCTCTCTCTCTCTCTCTCTCTCTCTCTCTCTCGCTATAGAATTCTATGTGTATGCGCGCGGGCGTATACGCGACGGCGCGGCACAAGGATTGCCGCGAGGTGGGGGTACTGGCGTATTCTATGGGCGGAGCCTCCGCCAGCTGGCAGATGTTTCCCGCGCGGCCGTATCATTCCTTTAGCGTAAAGCTGCGCGACGTGAAAATAGTTCCTGTCGGACGATCGAAGTATCTGAGTTAAGGACGGTGATAGGAAAGGAAAGAAAACTTGAACACGGGATGTATGGCGCTAAGCTTTAGTCGTATATGTCAGAGAGAGAGAGAGAGAGAGAGAGAGAAAGAGAGAGATAGGAACAGAAAGGGGGAGAGAGAGAGAGAGAAAGAGAAGGAAAGAAAATAAGAATAGGAGGGACGAGTCAGCTTCGGATTGGTCCGAAGTAAGGGTCCTCGATATCAGGGTAGCGCGAAGCGCGCGAATCGCCCCGAGCGCGGGCCATCGAACTTCTTGAGAGAGAAGGGAGTCTGTACATGTGTGTATACGTGTGTACGAGAGAAAAAGAGATAGAGATAGAGAGAGAAAGATAGACTAGATTTTCGAAGGGTGACGTAATCGTCCCGTCGAGTCTCACGCACGCTCGTCAATGCGTCGCCTCGTCGCTTTGAGTTGGTGCGGCTTTCGTACGGGAAGGTGTGCCGTTTTCGATACACAATTTCGTGTCCTTGACATATCGCGAGGCCAAGTGTAAAAGAGTTTTCTTCGTGCGGTCGCAGCATGTTTCTGGCGGTGTGCTTTGGTAAAACGGTACTACGCGGTGCGACATGTCGGAATGAGAGAGCAAAGCATTACGTACATTCGACGGTGCGTTCACGGTGAGCAAACTGTGTATCGTTAATTACGATAGCGTGTTACTACCGGTGTGTTACTTTTTCGATATATTCGTGGGTGTTAGAAAAAAATTTCCAAAATTATTTTATGTCTTTAACGAGCGTCGATTGAAATAATCATTGATCGTGAATTAAATTTGATAAAAGACGTTAATCGAAGACGAATAGAAACGAGGTGTGGCAAGAAGAAAGAAAGAAAAAAAGAAAAGAAAAGTCAAGACACAGTGCGGTAGGATAGAATAGGAGTGATAAAAAAGTGAAACAGTTTGAAGGAGGGAGAAAGTACGATAGTCGAGAAAGCCGGCGAGAAGACATCCGAGATAGAGGGCGCTCAACGGGCCCGGCGTCTACGGACGGCCCTGAAACCGGCGGCGGCGGAGTGATTCGCGACGCGTCGTGGGGGCCCTCAGCTGTTTCCCGCCAAAGATCGCCATTACAAAACGCGTTCGGCCGTTGTGTGTGAGAGGATCGCGCGCGCCGTAGTGACTGGTTCAATGGTGGAATATCTCAGTGCATTGCCACTACAGTCGTGACGAGCCCGCTCGTTTTATCGTCGACGTCTCAATATCGTCCTCATTGTGTCGGTTTGAGTTCGTCGAGAAATCTTGTAAAATAAGGTGAGAGAAATAAAGAGAGAGAGAGAGAGAGAGAGAGAGAGAGAGAGAGAGAGAGAGAGAGAGAGAGAGAGAGAGAGAGAGAAAGGGGGTAAAGAAAGAGACAGAAAAAGACAGAAAGAGAGAGAGAGAGAGTTCTCATCTGTCGCGTGTCACGCGTAGACATAAGCACGTAACAATTCGCCGTCGTGTCAAGGAGAGCGTGCGCGCGCGCGCGCGTTCTCTCTTTCCGGGCCGTAGTGGAGTGTGTCGTCGTGCGAGAGGTGGAAGAAGAAGAAGAAGAAAAGGAGGAGGAGGAGGAGGAGGAGGAGGAAGAAGAGGAGGCGGCGGCGGCGGTAGCGGCGGAGGAGGAGGAGGAGGCGGAAGCGACGTTTTCTCGCGTCTACCGCGACAACGGCGGCTGCTGCTGGGAGCTGGTGGAGTCGCGGGCCGGGATTCTCGGTGCGCTGCAAGATATGTCAGTGTTCACTGCCGACGATCGGATTTTGCTCGAGGAAATCGTCGAGGCGAGCACCGAGGAACACGAGGCTGAACTCTGCGGGTTAGTAAAAATATTATTTTATTCAAGTCATTACATCGATCTCATCTTTCGGTCCTAATCGATGCCACAATAATCGATCGCACATTCTAAGAGAATGAAAGAATCAAGATGAAAAGAGAGAAAAGGAAAACGCGCCAACGTGTGCGTTCCTTCTCTCTCTCTCTCTCTCTCCCTCTCTCTTTCTCTCTACCCCTCTATAGTTACACGTCCCAGCCCTTTCCATCGGCTGTTCTTCCTCACCGAACCTCTTTGCCAATGCGTCTTTCCCCTTCTTTCTCCATCTCTTCTCCCACTACCATACCACTGGTTCTCTCTTTCTACCTTTGGGTATCATATAATGCGTGACGCGTCTCTATCGCGAGAAGTCCCTGTAGTAGTTTTTCTTTCTCTCTCTCTCTTTCTCTCTCTCTCCTTTTCTCTCTCTCCCTCTTTCTCTCTCTATCTTTCTCTTCCTTTTCCCCCTTTCCATTCTTACTCGTTCTTCCGTTTTGTGGACGACAAGAAGGTATCTTCGGGCGACGCTTATCGGCTCTGTTCGGTTCTCCTCGCGAGTTCGACAAGGAAAGAGATTACCTTCTCTCTAGCAACGCCAACAGTTTACCATCCTCTTCGATGACCAGCTGTTAGAAGCCGGCCGGCCGGCCGGCGTTTTAACCTGCGTCGTTCCTTTTCGTTCCTCTCTCGCTTGCGACCTATTAGCGTTCTCTTTTCATCCCCTCTTCTCTTCTCTTTCTCACTCGCTCTCGCTCGCTCTTTGAACCCCTCCTCTCCTCCTCCTCCTTTTCCTCCATCGTCCTCTTCCTTACTTTCCTCCTTCCCCTCCTCTCTCTCTCTCTCTCACTCTCTCCCCCTTCCATCATCGTTCCCTTGCCGCGTCTTTCTTCGCTTTTGTCCTCTCTCTCTCTCTCTCTCTTTCTCTCTCTCCCTCCTCTATTTCTCTCTTTTTCTCTCTTTCTCTGTCTCTCCTTCCTTGCTTTTTATTCGTCCCGTCCTTTATGTTTTGCAAATCTCGAGTGAACGAGCGCGCTCGCGTACGCTCGCGAGAAAGCGTCGTGAATTTGTACGCCGGCCATGGGTTCACGCCCAAACAAGTATGGCGCGGACAGTCGACGGTCGATTGTTTTTCTTCTCTCTTTCTTTCTCTCTCTCTCTCTCTCTCTCTCTCTCTCTCTCTCTCTCTCTTCTCTCTTCATTTTTTTCTCTTTCTCTTTCTCTTTTTTCTTTTCTTTTCTTTTCTTTTCTTTTCTTTTCTTTTCTTTTCTTTTTCCTTTCTTTTATTATCTTTTCTTTTACGAGACACTTCATGAATTATTACGTTCGTCTAATATACACACGACTCCGTAAATGCTTGCTCTCTGCCGATTAGTTTGGATTTTTTCTTTTTTTCTTCTTTCTTTCTTTCTTTCTTTCTTTCTTTCTTTCTTTCTTTCTATCTCATTGAAATTATATTTAACATCTTTTTCGAGTATTTTTATTTTAACATTTGTTTTTTACTTCTCAATCGTTTTCATCTTTTTTCTCTCTCTCTGTCTTTTTTTTTTTTTTCTATCTCGAGTCCGCTCTTACATCATTGCTAACTTCTCTTCTTTGCGCGCAGACTTTTTCTTTTTCGAAAAGTTATTTTTTAACCGTTTGAAAATAGCTTCCATTGGAAAAGGTTATTTTATTTTATTTTGTTTTTTTTTTTTTAATTTCTTTTTTTTTTTTTTTATTTTATTTTATTTTATTTTATTTTATTTTATTTTATTTTATTCTACCTTTATTTCTCGAAGTAAAATGATCGAAGTTAGAAAAATCTCTTTTATGATCTTACAATATGATTATGATACGTCCTATATATTTAGAAAAGAAAAAAGATTCCGAAGTTTATTTTTTATTTTTCATTTGTTAAGTAACTCAAAATAATACGGACAGATTCGAGAAAACTTTTTGACGATAGAGCAACATTATTCACTATTACGTGTTTTTTAAACGAGTATTTTTTATTGCTTGGTAAAATTATTTACGATATTCTATGAAAGTTAATTAAATTGCGAAGGACGATTAAATGTTAAAAAATACCAACTTTCTAACGAACTTTCTATCTAAATTATGTCAAGGACGTTTTTGTTGATATTAATACACGTTGATAAGAATACGTGTAAGACAATAAGGTTGAAAAAGCGCGCGCATGTATACACGCACATACACACACGCGCGAATCTTTTTTCCCACAACTGCGCTCGATAAAGGATTTTTAAAATTTGATATTTGTAAAAAGCTTAGTTCATAATTTTCTTCTTCTTTTTCTTTTTTTTCTTTTTTTTTCCCTATTTTTTTTCGTTTATCGTTTCATCGCAATTAGTTACTATTATTTTAGTAGTTAAAAAAAAAATATTCGTCGTATCTCGTATAGCACATTAATTTCTACGTATCTACATACCAAACAATTATAATTGTTACATCCAGAAAATGTTATTCAATGTTTTAAGATATTTTTCAAATATTTCTTTAAGATGTTGCTCTTACAGTTTCATAATACACATACACACACACACACATATACACATACACGCGGACGGGCGCATGATTGGAGATTTTTCCTTGTAAGAGACGATTCAAGTTAATGATAAGAGCTAACATAAGAGAAAAACAGTGGTTAGGAGGAAAGAGGAGGAGAAGAGTAAGAGAGAAAAAGACAGATTGATGTGGGGAAGGCGGGAATAAAGAAGGTGAACGATAACAGAGAAAAGAAAAAGCGCGCGAGTTCTTTATCGTATCAAAGAAGAGGAAGAAGAAGTAGAAGTGTAATAGCAGTAGTAGTAGTAGTAATAATAATAGTAGTAGTAGTAGTAGTAGTAGTAGTAGTAGTAGTAGTAGTAGTAGTAGTAGTAGTAGTAGTAGTAGTAGTAGTAGTAGTAGTAGTAGTAGTAGTAGTAGTAGTAGTAGTAGTAGTAGTAGTAGTAGTAGTAGTAGTAGTAGTAGTAGTGATACCGAGTGGCCAACGGACAGACAGAACGATAGACAGAGATCGGCCGTTATACCACGGCCGTGTTACGTAAAAGTCGCGTTTGTTACACAATAATCGACTCTTCTATAAATAACTCGAAGCACACCGTGCTTCAGCTCGATTCCTTGTTTACATATGTTTGACATCGTCGCGACGCGACGCGACGCGATGCGATGCGATGCGATGCTCATAGTCAACTCAATTGGCGGCCTAACATAAAGTGTACCTTTTAGGAGATGAATCATAAATGATCGCGTAACGTTGATGATGATGATGATGATGATGATGATGATAATAATAATGATAATGATGATGATGATGACAACGACGACGACGACGACGAAGACGACGACGACAACGATGATGGGAAAAATACGAGAGAAGACGAATAGAGTTCTTGGAAATATTATTTGTTTGTCTTCCTTTTTGTTTCTTCTTACATATCACACTTGGTTTCTTTTTCTTCTAATCTTTCATATTGATCTAATCTCACGATGGAAATGAAAGAGAAAAATATAGAAAATTACTTCTTTCTTTTTGAGTTTTGACGTGTTAAATGGATTTTATTTATAACAAGAAAAAAAAAAAAAAAAAAAAAAAAAATTTCTTTTTATTAATTTTTTCTTCTTATTATTTTGTATTTTTCTTATTCGAAAAAAAAGAGCGTTTCCTGCCAATGGAATTTTTTTGACGCGCCCCCCGCCCTCCTCCTTCTTCCCTCCCCGTCCATCTGAAAGTTATTAGATGAAAAACGTCATGAAAAGATTCGCAGATACTTTTCGAGCGAACGTATAACATAATTTAAACTTTATTTTTCTTTCTCCCCCATCTCTCCTTCACCTTCCTAGAAACCACAGAGTACTTACCTTAAACATGTCGAAGCGACAACGAATTCTCGTGTGTCATGTGGAATCATAAAAGTTTCGTCCCTTTCGTTCTGCCGCACTTTATAGTTTTCCCTCATTTTCCGAAGCAAAAGATAAAATAGAGTTGTAAATAAAGTCTGTAGAAAAGTTGGAAACATGGTGTATGACAATATCGGATATCGCACGTCATAAAAGTAGAATCATTTTATTTCCAAGAAAGATTTTTTGACAAATATTATAACGTCATGTTTATTTTTGTTATTAACAATATAGTAGATATATGGGTATTATGCGTAATTAATAATATCGATGCACGCAACGTACCTCTTAAAAAAAAATTGTCATTTATTTAATCGAATTACATTATTAAAAGCAGTGAATTATATCTGTATTTTTGTAATTGTTATATGAATAAATATAAAAATTAATAATAATAATAATAATAATAAAATAATAATAATAATAATTATTATTATTATAATAATAATAATATTAATAATAATAATAATAATAATAATAATAATAATAATAATAATTATAATAATAATAATATTAATAATAATAATAATAATAATAATAATAATAATAATAATAATAATAATAATAATAATAATAATAATTATAATAATAATAATGTAAAATTTTATTTTTATTTTAAAAGTAAAAAGAAGAAAAAAACAAAGAATAAAAGAAAAAAGATTTTATCATTGCCAAGTAAAATTTATGAAAATTTTGCAACTCTTACATATTCAACTAGTATATATGAATATGTTAAAATCGATCGTCTCGGTATTTTCTTATCGGATAGGTATAGGTGTACGACCTCTTTGTGGTTTGTACACGGAAAGAATCGCGATGCGTTTAGATGTCACGTCGTTGCATCGCATTCATTTTGCACTTTTCCGGCCTCGTCTAGGAATGGGCTTAACACCTGTCGCAACTGTATAATATGTCGCTATCTTATTACGGGACATACGTATATTCTTGTAAAGTATTAAATATGTTAACGTTGGGATAGTTTCTTTGAACTTCTCCAAAGGTTCATACTATGCAAATTTGATCGCTTTTAAGAATAATCTTTTGAATTAAAAATGTTACCAATTGAACAAACATATTACGAGTATTACTAATAATAACTAGAGTTATTTCAAAGATATTGAATATTAATAAATTCTTCATAGTTATTCGAGTAGCGCAAAAAATGGATTATTTTATCTGTTGTTTCATGTCCAAAAAAAAAAAATAAGTCACGTTTTTGTGCATAGATGTATATTCATTTATATTTATGCACGTATAACATTTTCTATTTCTATTTTTTTTTTTTGCCTTTTTCCTTTGTTTTTGATAAATTGAAAGATAAACAATGGTTAGTATAATAAATTGCAAAAGACAAAAAGAGAGAGGGGGAGGAGAGGCTTGTGATAAACAAATGAAATAAATTAAAAATTAACTGGTTGATTTGTTACCGCGCCGTCCAAGAAACAAATAAATTAAAAAAATTGCATCATGGAGAAATTATTTATCGCATCTCTGGAAGAGGATTCGTGAAAGATACGAATGCATAATCTCGAACGGACCGGCGATGAGTTCCGGCGGGCCTCCGCTAGCAGACAACAATGGTTTCTCTGTTGACCTCTCACGCTCCATATACTGTCGTGCAACTCGAAGCCGCGTTACACGTGCGTCGTGGCTCGTAAGGAGAAGGAAAAAAGGAAGGAGAAGGAGGATGAAGAGGGTGCGGCAGGATTAACGCCTTCTATTTCGCGTAAAGACTTCCTTTCTCTCTTTCTTTTTGCTACGTAATGTTACGCGTGGGTGAAGTTAACGCCCTCCCTCCCTCCCCTCCCACCCTGCCGTCTCTACTATTTTATTATAAAACAAATAACGTTCGAGCGTAAGCTATAACCCGTGAAATGGATTTAATTTTCTGCAATAAATTGTAATAATAGAATTTGATTAGGAAGAAAAAAAAAAAAAAAAAAGAAAATAAAATAAAATCATTTTTGTCGTTTTAAAATATATTTATATATTACGCGAATGTAAAGGAAAAAAATTTTTTTATAAATAAAAGAAATACAAAAGAGAAAGAAAAAGTAAGAAAAAGAAAGACGTATAGCGTAGACGGACTCAACGTGGCGCCCATCGGATTGTGACTTACGTCACACTGCTAAATATATGCCCGGTCGTTCCCAATCTCATCCCCATTCTTGAACTGCGTTCCATCCCGTATAAGATAGCATGATCCCATGACTGAACAGTCTATGCGTCTTTTTAGC